GACAACCCTTACGAAAACCACTTGTGATCGGAAAGCTATCCGACAGGTCACGGTAGACCCTGATGCGGCGTGTAGTGTTGGAGTATAGAGCACGAAAAATGTTCACATATTTCGTGGGAACACCTTTACGCGCAAGTATTTCGAACAGAATCGATCGATCGACTGAATCGAAGGCACTCTAAAAATCAAGGAACACAGCTATTGTCGATCTGCGGTATGAGTGGCGCTGCTCTAGCACCTGCCGCAAAGTGGATATATGGTCTATACAGCCACGTCCTGGGCGGAAACCGGCTTGCTCTTCACTAATCCGAGATCCCCGTTCCACAGTGAAGCGAGGAACGAGAACCGAAGCCAGTAATTTTGTCACAGCTAGCGTTAGGCTAGTACCCCTGTGCTTAGCGCAGTCTGTGCAACTGCCCTTCTTGTATATTGCCACTATAATCGATTTGCTCCAATTAGCCGGGACACTCTTCCTTCCAGACACGTTCGAATAGGGAGGTCAGTGCTTTGCAGAGGACCTCACATCCATCCTTAAATAGTGAAGGTGGGAGGGAATCCGGGCCAGCGGCACGAAAACGATTGAGGGCTGTGATCGCGTTTCGGACCTTGGCCTCCGACGGAGGCTCTATACTAATCGCCCATGGTTCGTCCTGCATCACCTGAGTAGGAAGAGGTCCGGTAAAAGGGGCCAGTTAAACTGAGCTTGAAAGTGTTCCGCCCAACGAGCCATACGGCGCTGCTTATTGTGTATCAGCGTACCCGCGCTGTCTCTGATTGTCTCACTGATGCCTGGTTTCCTGGGATCAGTGGTGCGGATCAGCTGGAAGAGCTTGCGGTAATTGGCTACTGCTCCTGCCTCCTCCATTTCTTGAACCCTCATGGTCCACCAGACTTCCTTGTCAGAACGTAAGCTCCGCTTTAGTTAGCACCTAATATCCCGTCTAGTCACATTGTGCTCAGAGCCAGCCAGGAGGTCCCTTCTGGATTCCAACACGTTCACCAACCTTTCGGATATCAAGTGACTGGTGCAGTGACGATTGATAGTGCCACAAGCAGATGCGCCTGCATCGTCCATGGCGGCCGAGATCCTATTCCACTGAAGCTGTGCCATTAGGACAAGACAGCGAAAGTTCGGTACGCAGTGCGTCTTGATAGGCTTACCTGCTCGAGGGCTGAGACACCTTCCCAGTTGCCAATCGGAGGGGACGCTTTGGTGCACCTACCGGTAAAGTTCATGGAGAAACGACAGCGCACCAAGGCATGATCAGAGTCGACACAGGTACTCCAATACGAGCGGCAATACAGGGTGGAACCACCCCGTCTGTAACTTATGGCCATGTGGTCAATTTGGGTCCAGCACTGGCAAGCTACAGGAAGACGCCAAGTGGCACTTCGGCGCCCACGGTGTCTAAAAGCAGTGCTACTAAGAAACAACTGGTGCGCCGCACACAGCTGCAGCAGACGCTCGTCGTTGTCAGTCCGTTCGGAGTTAAGTCCATAATTACCAACAAGGTGAGCTTCTGAAAAGCTCAGACACCCTACTTGTGCGTTCAAATCCGCCACAAGAAACTATGTTATCGAACTAGTAGCACTGCGTAGTAGCAGGTTCAGTTTGTGATAGAACGTGTCCTTGACAGCAGCATAAGTGGAAACCACAAACAGCGTTCTGTACTACTTCGTGATTAAACCTTGGTCGATCTCGTTAAACGGGGTGTACATAAACGGCTGTTCACTGGAATTCAGTCAACTAACGATGGCTCAGCCTTGGAGCTTAGAATGATAACTGCACTTGCTTGCCCGTGAGTGCTGTATCGGCATCCCTGGATGCGTGCAACCAATAACGAGAGGATAAGGCAAGTGCAATTAATTCAACAACCCCATTAGGGTCATTGATCCTAGTTTCGGACAAACAACACACATCAATACCCAGTGTGTCCAAGGAGCATGCGAGTGCAGCCTGTTGACCTATTTGTCTTAGAGTGCGAACGTTGAACACCCCCATGGAAAGTGGACAGCGTGGCCTTACAAGGGGCTGTTGCCGATAGGCGTCCGATGGGTACAGTGGGAAGGTGACTGCAGATGGTTCTACTCCAGTGGCACTTCGGTTGTTGTCAATTAAGCTGGGAATTATAGAAGGAAGGTTAGTAATGGGGGTCAAGATGGGAGGAAGAGAAACAGGTGGAAGAGAAAGAAGGGAGGCACCAGTAGTAGCATGTTTTCGCTTATATGCCCTGCTGTACGCAGCAGATAAGGCGACCCTTGATAATCAGCGCGACGGTCGATGCAGGATGAAGTTTATGCTTGAAGAAAATTTCATGGTTGTATATAGGCTGAGATTTTGTCAGGGCGCCCAGACCTAGACAGGAGGACGATTAGAGTCCTTATCCGAAGCCTTTGGCTCAAAAGCCTGTCTGCAAGGCAGTGGGGAGTTGGCAAGGATATAGTTTTACAGAAATTTCAAACCCTCAACCTGGAGGACCAGGAGACCGAGTTTGTCTGACCTCACAACATTGACCAACCTGGTAGGAGGAGCTCTCAAGGGACCCGGAAGCACCATATAGTATAGTTCAATGGGTCAAGAAGGTAGGCAAACCGTCGCACTACGTCAAGGTCCAGTCTCGCTGCAACGGATAAATAAGATCAACTAGCTATTAACTAAGCAGTACATCAACGCCTGCATCGTGAGGCTCCGCAAGGGAATATTCCATAATGGAAGGTACGACGGAACTGAACAAAAATGGGGAAATTGTACGACCATGATGAACGCCACTTGTTGTTGGAAAGGCATCCGACTGATCACCCTAGAACATGAAGCAGCCTGTGGTGTTCGAGTAAAGGACACGTAAAGTGTTCACATATTTCATGGACACACCTTTCTGTACAATTGTTTAGAAGGCATCGATCGAATGGATTGTACACAGTCATTGTCGGCCTATGGCGCGTGTGGCGCTACTCCAGCATCTGCCGCGGAGTGAATAAGTGGTCTGTACAGCCCCTTCCTAGGCGTAAATCTATGTGCTTCTCATTAATCCGTGGTTCTTGCTCCGCAATGAGGCGACGAACGAGAATTGAGGTCAGTAATTTCGTCACGACTGATGTTAGCTTGAGACCCCTGTGGTCAGCAGTCGATGCGACTGCCCTTCTTGTAAATCGCCACTATAATTGATTCCCCCCGGTTTGCTGGAGCGGCTTTTACCTGCCAGACCTGTTCGAACAGGGAGGTCAGTGTTTGCTTAGGACTTTGCCACCATCCCTAAATATTGTGAGTGTAAGGAAATCCGGGATAGTAGCACGAAAACGATTAGGAGCAGCGATCGCGTTTCGGACCTCAGCTTCCGAAGGAGTCTCTAAACTAACCGGCTATGGATTAGCCTGCAACACCTGAGTAGGAAAAGGTCTGGTAGCGGGGGGCCAACTAGGATGCTCTGAAAAGTACCCCGCCCAAAGAGACCATATGGCGATCCTCATTGTGAATCGGGGGACTCGCACTGTCTATGATGGTCTAGCTGACTCCTGGTTTGCTTGGACCAATAGCATAGATCCGCAGCTTAGCTCACATCTGGTGAGAACACTGCGTGAGTAAACAGTGCGTTAAGCGTCGCGTATTTAGTGCAGGAATAGCGAGTGAACCGCTTATCACCGTTATTTCACGGACCAGGCTCTGAGGGCTCGGCCACTTGTTGCGCATGCCAGCACACCGATTCCCGCGACGTGCGCTATTTGCATGACCAGGGTCTGAGTAGAAGAAGAGGAGGGAAGGCTAAGCGATGACATCATCAAGAAGAATGAAGGCTCTCAATTCGAAGTTGGCGCCCGCTGGGGTCTCCCGACTGCTGAGGTGAGATTCGGATGACGATAAGCATGTTTGGTTGGACATACTTGTTGACATGTCGAAGACTCGGCCCCAACGGCGTTTATGTTGTGAGTTACTTTTACAATCCAACCCGCGTATTTTCCATGTACAAGCACGCTCTCGCAAGTGATGCATAATATGATATTGGGCAGCGTATTACTTTTTGCTTTGTATATTGCATTCTGCTGTGTACTACATTTCGCATTTTTACATATCATATTATTTGGTATTTCAGCACCTTGGCGTGTTTCTGACCTTCAGCTAACGTGTAAGGAATGTACGTGTGTATCTGCCCTGCTTCACGCAGCAGACAAGGCGATCTTTGTAAATCTATGTGAAAGACAGTGCAGAATGTTGTTGAAGTTTGAGGAAGTAACTAAGGTTGTAAGTGGACTGAGAGATTGCAGGGCGCCCAGACCTGGCCAGGGGAATGAATAAAGTCCTTAATCAAAGCCGTTTGTTTAGAAGTCTGTCCGCAAGGTAACGGGGTGGTGGTAATGATTTGATTGTAAAGTAATGGACTTCATTCAGTTTCCAAGCTCCAATCTATAGAATCAAAAGAGTAACCATGAATCAACATGGTAGGTGGAGTTGGCTGCTCACGAATCTTAGAGCCATAGTGGCCAAGGCGTCAACCTTTGAACACTAGGCCTAGAGGTCCAACCCAGATCAGGTTATCTCTATCTGATGAGTCCAAAGGTGGACGAAACCGGTTATGCGGTGTCAGGGTTGGGAGGAGCAACACCGAACTACCAATTCGGAAAAGGTCCTTGTGATAGTAATGACCGAGGTCTATTTCAAAGAGGATAGAGGTCTGAATAGAGATTGCGAGTCACAATCCAACCACACAGCGGGTACACTAAATACCACATGGTAGATGGAGCTCTAAAGTGACCCAGGGGCACCACCCAATATGGCTCAATGAGTTGAAGACGTGCGCAAATGGTCGCACCGCGTTAAGGTTCAGTCACTTTGCGACTGCCCTCATCAATATGCTTCTTATTTGCCATGGTTTCGGTAATTTTGAAGACTCCGGATATAACATACAAATACATATACAAGTATGTAGGTATCCAGCATAAAAGAAAACGAGTATCAGTAGGATGTCGCAACACGAGAGAAAGTGTTCGTAGAATGGTTGACTCACTTGGAAGAAATTTCCCTTCTTGTGTTAGTAGTAGTGCTTTCAGGAAGCATAGTCAAAATGCTCGGAGAGTAAAGATCAAATAGTTTTGAAAACAATAAGGACTCAATACAGCCTTCTTAGCCTACACGCAACCTAAAAAGGACGGTAGAGAGAAACATATGGCTATAGGTGAATAAAAAACGCACGGAAATCAAAGGAACAAATTATTCCTGAGAAGCATGCAGAAGTTATCATCAACAGCAGTACATCAGCTATTTGAACTGACGCTTCGCTGCCATACAACCACAATGACCTGTGGAACAAAGAATAATAAGAGGGAGAGAAAGGGGACTTACCGGGAAACATTAGTGCCCTAAGCAAATACGGCAGGTATAAAACCGCTGTACTTTATCCGGAAGTGGTGCTCGGTTTCATCAACTAAACCCATGAAAACGAGTGCACGCCAGGGTAAGAGGACAGTGGACGAAAAGTAGAGACGGGATGTTGAACTGACAAGGCTCGAATGGATAAGCGTAATCAAAAGAAAGTCTATTCCGCATGTTTATGAAAAGATACAACTCCTTTCTTTATAGACTGGTGCTCACAGTGTTTGAATCTGGCAGAAGATATACGAGCTCAGCCGCCGTCAAAATGGTATGTACTGGCAGATGTACCGGCTAGCCGGTTGGCCCGTGGAGAGCGCGGTAAACAACGGTATATCGCATTCAGCCACAGTAGGCTTACAAACAACGTTACAGTGACAGTTTTCTGACATGTGCCTAAAATGTAAGAGATGCCTTTTATAGAAAGGCATCAGCAGTACGCCAGTACTGATGTTTCGCTGCTGCGCAATCACTACTAGTCACACGTGGGCTAGGGATACTGCAAGGGTCGAGGACATTCGATGATCTGGATCATGGCATTCTACTGCACAAACCACGGAATTATGGAATCGACGATCCCGTTCTGGGCTGGATAGGTAATTGCTCGTTCGACGTCATCTGAGAGTGAGGGCTCGTGGTATCTTATGCGAACCAAGCTAAGTGTAGTGCGGCGTACCTCAGAGCTCGGTGTTTGGGCCTTGCCTGTGCCTTGTCTTCATAAATGACCTCGCGACTGTGCTATCTTTAAATTCCCCACTATTCACCGATGATCAAAAGATATGGCGTGTTATCACTACAGTGGAGGATTACACAACCCTGCAAGCTGATCTGGATAAAGTACACACATGGTCCACCGAAAACATGCGGTAACTCAATGCACCCGAGTGCAAAGTTCTGAGCATACGCCATCAGAGAACTCCTGACTATCGAATAAGGCCACAAATTCTACAGTGCGCTTATCATGAGTGCGGTCTCTGTGTGCTAGTGCAAAAATGACTTAGGTTCTTCGAAACTGAAAAGGCATCACAAAAGGCAAATAAGTACTTCGGTTTCCTCTGTAAGGCGTTCAAAAATCTCGATGTCTTTCGACAATGCTTGGCACGTAAGTAAGCCGCATGCAGAATACGCTATCCAAGTGTGGCAACCCTGACAGAAGCACCATCACACCGCAGTCAATATTGCATAATACAGGGAGACAAAAAACGTCAAAAGTTTGTCGCACCTACTCCACCAACCAAAACTGAAAACCCTAAAAGTGTACAGCATACGTTATGTGGGTTCACGGGGCAATCTTATAACGGTGTACCAGAACCATAAGAGACCTAACCACACTTGCCACCATCGGTTGAAACCCAGCAAAACATATCTCTGGGGGCCAACAGTTTAGGCTAGCCACATAATACAGCTGGCTGAAATGTTTATGAAACTTGTTCGCCCTCCAAATGTCACATCCCTGGAACGCTCTCCCAGCGTATGGAAGTAATGCCACCAGCTTATCACCATCCAAAAAAGTACTTTACGACACATTGACATTATGTAATATAACCCATGACCATTAGACAATTAAATTAGTGAGGAACAAACAGTGGACGGTGCCATAAGTCTCTTAAACCTCGGGCAGGAACACACATCTGTGTTACCGCAAACCACTTGGTGCACCATGTATCGACATTGTGTTTTTGTCCAGTACTTTTCACTCCAACCATTCTATGGGATTTACAAAGCATTATTAGTATTATTATACACGCTAGCTGCAGGTTTAAAACACCTCAGCTATGGTGCCGCAATACAAAAGAGAAAAAGTGAAACAGTGGCATGCCGGCTGAGTCACCAATAACGGATGGACATCGTTCCGGAGAGCTAACAGTCGGCAATTTTGCCATAAAAAGTCATATACTGCCTATTAACTGAGCTCGTGATTGGAGTGGGAAGCTAAGCGGAGGGAGGGGGGACAAAGGAACTCGTAAGACCAACGCCACTGAGGTCTGCTCCTTGCCATGTCAAGAAGTGAATCCAACCAAACGTGCTCAACATCTTTCGAATCCCAACAGGGGAGCCGAGTGGCTCCAACCTAGGCCAACTTCGAAATAAGGGCCTTCATTCATCTTGACCAAGTCATCGTTTGGTCACCTTTCCTTTTTTCATCCGAACCCCAGGCGCGCAAACAACGCAAGTCGCGGGAATCGGTGCACTGGCATGCGCAAAACGTGGCCCAGCCATCGGAGCCTTGTGCGTGGACTTACCAAGCACTTATTTTTATACCCGGGATAAATTATTGCTCAATTGTCCATCTTTTTCCAGATGTGCGTCAGTGGCTCTACTAACTTTGATTGCAACCAGGCTTCTTACAAAGTTAAGTAAAATAAAAAGCAGGACAGTGTGCCTCTGATGAGAAGGTACTGATACGGTGTACACTGAGTCACACAGAACTGCGATTAGGGACAAACTGACTTAATCAACCCACGATCATTTTCATGATACGTAGTTGAGTGGAAACAAAGGTCTGGCAATCAAATGATCCAATAGTTTATTATGTACAGCAGCAGGCTTGCATGTTTCTCAAAGTATTGTAAACTAATGGAGACGCCAGAAAAGCAGATTATCGATGGGTGATATAGCGGACAAAGCAGTAGTACGGCCAGTTATGCAAAATATAGCAATATATAGCTCAATGAGTTGAAGATACGCAAACCGTCGTACTGCATTAAAGTCGTCTCGTAGCGACAGGACTTGTGACGAGACTGAACCTTAACGTGGTGCAACGGCTTGCGTACCTCCGTGACCCATTGAGCTACGCTGGATGACATTTCCTAAGTGACTTCAGAGCCATTCACTCCAGACAAGTCACTGGCTAGGGCAACAGATTAGCTCAGCCAATGACATCTTCCCACAAAACCTAACCATGGAAGGTAACAGGTTTACGGGTTATAAGCTTACAGTTAGATTGACGTAGAGCACGAGCGCCACGCATTGTCTTCGAAGGTGATAAAGCACCTTGTGGCGCTCAAGGTTCGCAACCGCCCGCCTCAAACAAGACAACCCCTGGTCAAATTAGAGCAAACGTGCAAACTTAGAGTGGCCGTGGCCACAGCTGCGTAACATGGTTGGCGGCATCCGGTTTCGGATTTGCCTGTCACTGTGGCAAGCCACAGGACGCCTGCGCCTACAGAGGGACCATGGATGGCTTGCGCTGCACCACCCACAGCTCCAACCACATACGCCATATCCAGTGTAAACCCGAAGGAATAAGACCGGGAGGCATGCGGATGGGAACCACGTTTCATCAACGGAGCCGGCCCACACTCCTTCACAGGCAAACACAAGCACGCTGTATTTGGGGAATCAACCGCACACAAGGCGGTGGCTGGACCGTAGTCCGCTCCACACTGAGTGCATGGAACCGCTCTTTGAGCCTAGCACGGCCACAAGAACCGTGCACCCCGTCCCCTCCAGCAACGACCAACTGTCTCCTGGAGCCAGTACGAACGATGTAGTGGGTAATAGACAGGTAGGCACCTTGTCAACATACACATCAAGCGCAACCATACCGGGGATATAAAACAACACCCATTCACTTTAAACGACAAGCTGAAATAAAATAAATCCAATAATGCATACAGATAAGGTGGCATAACTCTTCGCTAAATTACCATATGAAGTAAGTTGGTTAGCAACAAATCCGTGATAAGTAAGAAATGTCCACAAGTTACTTAAAATGCTACAAACGCAACAAAATTACCGAAGATAAGCGCAATTAGTGCAAGCAACGTGGCCAGTTAATAGAACATTATTCAGGGAGGCAGAACAAACCAAAGAAAGCGGAATGAAATTAATCCAGCTTAAAAAGACCTAGTTTAAGTGTAAGTTGGTTTAGCCCAACTGCGGTGAAGAAGCATCAAGAATGCAACATCAGTCTCAGCACGGTCATAAAACACATGTTCATTGTTCTAAATCTTCAAGGCTGTATGCGACAGACCACAAGCAGATCCAAACGGGTCTCTGCGATGACAATACCAAGCTGGAATTGCTCCCCAATACCTTGTGGGTTCGCCTATTGAGCCAAAAGCCCAGGATGGAGTCCCACAAGCAAACCCTCATGCAGCCCACTGACTTATACAGTTCAACCTGCTATTGCGACAAATTGTCTATGGCCACCAGCCGAACACATCCCCAACGTTTTCTTTTATGAGTAATGTCACTATGCATGAGGCTGACAATGGCAACCACCCGTTCAAAGGGGACCAATCTATAAATAAATAAATAAATAAATGGTTGGCGGCATCCGGTTTCGGATTTGCCTGTCACGGTGGCAAGCCACAGGACGCCTGCGCCTACAGAGGGACCATGGATGGCTTGCGCTGCACCACCCACAACTCCATCCACACACCCCATATCCAGTGTAAACCCGAAGGAATAAGACCGGGAGGCATGTGGATGGGAACCACGTTTCATCAACGGAGCCGGCCCACACTCCTTCACATGCAAACACAAGCACGCTGTAGTTGGGTATCAATCGCACATAAGGCGGTGGTTGGGCCGTAATCCGCTCCACACTGAGTGCATGGAACCACTCTTCGAGCCTAACACGGCCACAAGAACCGTGCACCCCGTTCCCTTCAGCAACGACCAACTGTCTCCTGAAGACAGTATGGACGAGGCAGTGGGTAATAGACAGGTAGGTACTTTGC